ATAAGGACAGGCGCCAAACAAACACAGTAGATGTGGTGATGGTGAGGACAGGATGCTGCGGGTGATGGTGAGGACAGGGAGGACAGGATGCTGCGGGTGATGGTGAGGACAGGGAGGACGGGATGCTGCGGGTGATGGTGAGGACAGGGAGGACGGGATGCTGCGGGTGATGGTGAGGACAGGGAGGACGGGATGCTGCGGGTGACGGTGAGGACAGGATGCTGCGGGGCAGCTGGCAGAGAAATGGCTTCCATACTGAATTGGGGAGCATTAAAGCTGAGTCCTGAAGGGTGAACAGGTCACCAGGGGAAGGGAGTTAGAAGATGATCCTAGGTGAGGAGGCCCAGGTGCCAGAGCCAGATGCTCTTTGGGAAACAGAAAGAGGTTCTTCACAAGTAAAGAAGAGGTACAGAAAGAAGTAAGAAAGGGCCAGACCTTGGAGGTCTGGGATATGGGGTTTGGATTTGCTCATAGGGTCCAAGAGGAGCTGTGATACATCTTAAGGGGAGGGATGGCATGCATGGCTCGACTTGTGTTTTATAAAGCTGACTCTGAGTAGCAAGGATAATAGGAAAAGAACTTGGAGGCGGGGCCACCAGGAGGCGGGGTCACCAGGAGGCTAGTGCTGAAATTTATGCAAAATATGTGGCTGCTCAGATGGTGGGGTTGGGGGTGATGCTGTTTGACTGAACTAGATGGGTAGGCAGAAGCTGGGGCATGGGGCGCATCAAGGACGGCCTGTAGCTCTCTGTCACAAACAACTGGGTGAATGGACGCTACACTGGCTCTGCAACAGAGAGCAAGGCACCTAGTCAAAATGTGAGTCTGCAGAAGAACAAGTGGTTGCAGTGGGATGGAGCGTTTCCTAGGCAATGAACTTGCATCCGTTCTCCACGTTCCCGCTTCCACCTGGTGTGATCCACATGTCCTCCTGCCTCCCCTGCCTTGGGCTTCCATCTGTGACCTGGAAGGTCACCCACCGCTCCATACTTCTTTTCTAAAGAATTATTTTATTTTTGGGGTAGCATGTATACATTGAACATATTCATGGCATTCAGCGCTCCATTTGAATACACGCATACATCTGCTCACCAAACCCAGCTTTCCTTTATTCCCCTCTGCCCTTTCAAACCTCCAGTCATCACATTTAGGTCCACTTCCTTAAGCTTCCACATGCTGCACCCGGCTTATTTTACTTAACATAATGACTTCGGGTCCATTCAAACTCTTATCTGTCATCCTGCTCCTGAACAAAAAATAAACTCAAAATAGACCAAAGACCCAAATGTAAGACCTGAAAATATGCAACTTCTAGAAGAAAACCGAGGGGGGTCATGTCAAGATGTTGGTGTAGGCAATGGGATAGCCAAGTGGGATTACATCAAAGGAACAAAGCTGCACACCAAGGAACCAAACCACAGAGAAGAAGACCGTCTGCAGAGTGGGAGAAAATAATCACCAACTACTCATCTCACGGGATTAAGATCCTAAATATTTAAGGAACTCAAAAAAGCTGAACAAAGCCACCAAATGATCCAGTTTTAAAAATCAGCAAATGGAGCTGGAGAGATGGTTCAGTATAAAGCCCTTGTCTGATCATGAGGACCTGAGCTTGAGCACCAGCAGCCATATAAAAAAGCTGGGCATACTTGTAATCCCAGGAGTTGGGAGGAAGAAGCAGGATTCCTGGAGCTCACTGGCCAGCTAGCTTAGCCTAATTGGTGAGCCTTCAGTCTCAGTGAGAGTCCCCATCTTGAAAAACAAAATGGTCAGCTCCTAAGGACGTGCACTCAAGGTTGACCTCTGGTCTCCTCCACAAGTATATATGTACACAACACACACACACACACACACACACACACACACACACGTACACACATGCACGCACGCGTGCGCGCGCATGTGACAAATGATCTGAAGAACTTCTCAAAAGAAGAAATAGACTTGGCCAGCAAAGACAATTCAGTGATTTTAGTTCCCAGGCCCCAGTGGTCACCAGGAAGCATTTGCCTCTCCCCCCAGCCCCAGAGGAGGGGCTCACATTCTGCCCCCCACTGTCTCTAGCCATTAGTGTCAGTATTGCCAACACGTCTGTGGTAATTTTTCATTAATTTTCTTGGGGCCTTCCAGTTACAGTAACATTAACGTTTATACCCAATAGAATGATTGTAATTTCTCACTACTAATGGGATTAGTATTTTTGTTCATTTGTGTTTGAAATCCATTAGCATAAAATTTATATCCAATAATACTCATTGTGGATTTTAATGCCCTTGAAATTTGCTGTGAGGTATAAGTGTACAATAAGAGAAAGCATCAAAATGTCGTTTGTGGGAAAAGTGTGCCTTTTATTTTCACCATGGTTAAAATGGGGTTCTTTGATAGAGGACATAAAGTATTGGGGGCTGAGAACAGTGTGCTAGTTTGAAGAAGTTTTCAAACAAGCCCTCTGGTTATTCGGAGGACATTCTTCTATTTTAGGAGGAGCCGCATTCTTGGTCCTTTTTATGTTGTTTCCTCTCTAACTTACAGAAAAATATAAGTTGTATGCTTGTGGGGAAGGGTATTTAGGGCCATGAATCTTTTGGAATTGAAGGGACCCTGAAATTAGTCAACTGAAGTAGCTCTTCTAGGAGCTGCATGAAGGGCACCATTCTGTGCTGGTGAGAAGCATTTCCCAGCAGGGTGATGGTGTGGGTGGGGCAGGTTCACAGGTGGGGGTGGCTTGTGAAATTCACAGCACTGTCATCTGGACATTTTCGTTGTTTGGAACAAGGGGCCCCATGTCTGCCCCGGGGCACTGTGACTTACACACTTAGTTTTATGTATATGCTTTGGAGTCAGACAGACACGGGCTTAAGTCCTGGGATTCTCTAAGACTGACCATGGTGTCTCCTTATCTGTAGAATTTGGATGATAATATGGGCCTCTCTGGCTTTGATGTGAGGGGAGCTAGCCTTAAGCATGTGGTTAAGGTCATGAAGCACACAGCATTTTCTGAAGTGGGGCAATCTAAGGGTGGAGTCCCATCCACAAATTTACAACCTTTTCACTGTAAGGACACATATGACATGTTCACCAGGACAATACAATCTCAGTTAAAAAAATTAATTTATTGCTATTGTGTGTTTTTGTGTTAGTAGATACATGCCATGGCACACATGTAGAGGTCAGAGGATAACTTTGTGGAGTGGGTTCTCTCCTTCTACCTTTCCATGGGAATCGAACTCAAGTCATCAGGCTTGTGTGGCAAGAGCCTTTATCTGCTGAGCTATCTCTCCAGCCCCAAATCCCAATTTTGTTTGATTCCTGAATGTGTCTCTTCTGTCCAGAAACCTCTCAAGAAAGTCAATTAGTGAGCCTGGCAATTTTAGGAAGATGCCCTTGATCTTGATCTGATCCAATTGTAAACTTTAGCATTTCTTTATAACAAATGGTTTTCAGCATCCCATCCTTCAGTGCTGGACCATCACAGTCCCATGCCTGGGAACAAGGAACAGTGGACCCTTGGGACTCCAGACAAAGGCTCCCCAGTGCCAAACCAGACAGACTGACACCAACATGGAGGGAGCTCATGATGTGGCTACAACCAGAAGAATGATGTCACTTGTGAGCATGGCAGAGTCAGAGAAACTGACTGACTTTGTAGGCTGGGCATGTGGCTCAGTTGGTAGCATGCTGACCTAGTATACATAAAGCCCTGGGTTTGATTGACAGCACTCTATAAAACCTGTCATGGTGGTGCATGCCTGTAATCCTAGGACTCAGAAAGTGAGTCAGAAAGCTCAGGAGTTCCAGGTCATCTTCAGTTACATAGAAGGCTGACTGATGAGGCCACACAATCTTAAAACATCAAGTTAAACTTTTTTTTGTCTTAAAAAGTAGGAAAGACTTTAAAACAAATTAATAAGAAACAAAAACATATTCTGGAGCTTTATTCCATTCTAGCCCAAGATTCCCCAGTGGATTATAAAAGGAGTCAGAGTGGCTTTGGTTGCATTCACGCCAAGGCTGTGGGCAACTTGGTGTCCAGATGGTAGGCTTCAGAGAAGCACTGGGTCTGTGCTGTGTTCACCCCCTCTGTCTGCTCAGGGTTCTGCGTACAGGCTTGTTATGACACAACAAAGTCACCATGTATCTGGGGCCTCCTACATCATCTCAGGAGATGCAGGACAGGACCACTAGGAGGATACTGGTCTCTCAGTGACCTGTGTTGTGAAGTGACCCATCTCCAAAGCACAGTTTGCTCTTTCCTTGCTTTAGAACATCTGGGATCAGTGAGACACAACTGCCCAAAGCGGAGTCAGACCAGGGGGTCTTCCTTCAGTGGGCATGACAGCTGACGTCAGACTGCCGCTTCTCCATAGCAAACCACTGCTGAAAAACGGTTATTCTTCTCCCGAGACCCTCTCCTTAGCCTCTCTTTGATGGTAACTGGATCAGGCTTTGGATGAGGGATGGCCCATTGTGAGGCAAGCAAACTGACAAGGGTAATGGGTCTTTCTTTCTGCCCTTCTCATGGACAGCAGGAAGCCTCCTGGGCTCCTGTGACATGATAAGGAGGAGGCCACAGTACAGGACAGTTATGACAAATGACTGGAGAATTTATCAGACACTTCAAGACATAGTTGAAGAAAACCATGTGTCAACACACAAATGTCTACATTTGGAAGCCGTAATTTGTTTAGACAGGGTGAGTAGCATCCCCCACCCCCAAGGACCATATTATGGTAACCATAAATCATTCTTTTCATCCTCAGGAAACCAGAGACATGTCATTCCAACAAGGGAACCACGGCAGCAGCGGCAGCAGCAGCAGCAGTATTTAGGATAGAGAGGCCAGAGGACGTGGGAATTCAGGCAGGGAAATTCGGAGACAGAATCCACAACTCAGCAAATAGACTCTCCTCCAGGATATGGAACAAAGCCCTGCAGAAGAAACCCAAGGGATGCTCTGGCCTCGTTTCTAGCTTTTGGATCACCTGTGAGTCTGTTCTTACCTGTTGTCGAATTTCTTCCTCCATTTTCACTGGTGAGCCCAATTCTGCAACTTGCTTGACGCCTTCGCTGGCATATCCTCCGTACTCCCACAGCACGTAGTTCTTGGAGTGGGATCCACCGATGATGGCAGACCAGTGATTAGCTCGACCTGGAAATCAATTGAGTTGTAGATTTTAGTGTGATTAGGGCTAAAAAGTGAGCCTCTTAAGTGATGGGGAGGAGGAGTAACTGGTCAAAGACTGAGTCAGGACTGATTAGTCACCTGCCCTGTCTGAGGCCCAAGAGCACTCAGTGATTAGAGGCTCTATTCACAATAAGTCTGGGGAACTTGTAGACAGGTGAACAGCAGATGCCTCAAGGAGACATGGAGGTGGCCTAGGGTCACCTTCTGTCTAAGGGGTTTTCCAAGAAGAGGGCAGTTGAGAGAATTAGAAATGCTGGTCAGATTTGTAAGGCCGAACAGAGAGGAGAGGCTATTTCTGTCAGGCGCTAAATTAACTCTGCTTGGAGAGTCATCAGCAATTCAGCAGCTCTGTGTCACCAACTGTCAAGGGAGAGTCAGGAGACAATGCTGGGGAGGTGGAAGGAGCCTGCTCACAAGCAGCCTTGCTCTAAATGTTCAGGAGTTTGGATGACATCCGAAAAGGTCTGGAAACCACTGACGGGTTCTGAGCAGAGGCATGGCGTGCTTGCATTCGAATTTCAGATAAATTGCCCAGGCAGCAGTGTGAAGATTGCATCAGAGGGAGCAGAACTGGAGTGGAGAGCAGGGAGGTGAGCAAAGTGCGTGGTGTGTGTGTGTGTGTGTGTGCATGGTGTGTGTGTATGTGTGTGTGGTGTGTGTGTGTGTGCGTGGTGTGTGTGTGTGTGGTGTGTGTGTGTGCGGGGTGTGTGTGTGTGCGGTGTGTGTGTGTGTGTGTGCGGTGTGTGTGTGTGCGTGGTGTGTGTGTGTGGTGTGCGGTGTGTGTGTGCGGTGTGTGTGTGTGGTGTGTGTGTGTGTGCGGGGTGTGTGTGTGTGGGGTGTGTGTGTGTGTGTGCAGTGTGTGTGTGTGTGTGGTGTGTGTGTGCGGGGTGTGTGTGTGTGCGGGGAGTGTGTGTGTGTGCGGTGTGTGTGCGGTGTGCGGTGTATGTGTGTGTGTACGGTGTGTGTGTGTGGTGTGTGTGTGTGTGCGGTGTGTGTGTGTGGTGTGTGTGTGTGTGGTGTGTGTGTGTGCGGTGTGTGTGTGTGTGGTGTGTGTGTGTGCGGTGTGTGTGTGTGTGCATGGTGTGTGTGTGTGTGTGGTGTGTGTGTGTGGTGTGTGTGTGTGTGCATGGTGTGTGTGTGTGTGTGTGTAAAGCCATTTTAGGCAACTATCAGGACTAAGCATGCCTGATTTCAGCAGATTTTTATGCACACTACAACATGAGAAATGAGCAGGCTAGCCACAGAGGATGGGACAGACAACCTGCATACGTGGAGGTGACTTGTTCTGTGTGTGTGTGTGGTGTGTGTGTGTGTGGTGTGTGTGTGTGCGGTGTGTGTGTGTGTATGTGTGCATGGTGTGTGTGTGTGCATGGTGTGTGTGTGTGTGTGTAAAGCCATTTTAGGCAACTATCAGGACTAAGCATGCCTGATTTCAGCAGATTTTTATGTACACTCCAACATGAGAAATGAGCAGGCTAGCCACAGTCAGAGGATGGGACAGACAACCTGCATACGTGGAGGTGACTCGTTTATAGTGGCTTGGTGGGGATCATGGGGCATGGCGACAGTGGTGGGATCCAGGAGGGAGTTCATGTACAATGGGAGGGATTGAGGACAGCAAGACTCAGGACCAAGACAGAACATGGCTTGAGGGTTTTATCAAAATGCCTGAGGAAAGGGGGGCACAGGGAACTGCTAGTCTTCATTGGCACCACGCTGGGCTTGTTTTCAGATGCAAAGAATACAGATGCATCTGTATTTATTATTCACTAAATTACATACAGTTCATGGGATTAACTCAATTCTCAGCCACTCTGGCTGGTTTTATAAAGTCTCAAGCTTAAGAACACTTTCAGACGAAGCAAAGGCAAAAATTTGAAAATGATAAACACAAACAGCTTTTTTTGGTTTCCTATCCTACGGCCTAGTGTCGGCAGAGCACTTCACTCCATCCCACTATCTATGACAAGGATTCTGAACAGGGCCTGGGCCTGTTCACACAGCAACCATTGCTATCCCAAGGCTTTCTACCTCAGGGTGCACATCAAAAACACGTGCGTAAAGCCAGGCTGCACTCCCCTGGCCTGCTGAGGGCAACTCCACCCAGCCCCAGGCAGATGACATCACTCTGTGGACGAGTCTACCCAACTGTCTGTTCATTATTTCTTCCACATCAGAGCAATGTACCCTCCATGTTTATCCTTCATATCCCAAGAGAAAATAGATGGAGATGTTGCTAACTATTTCTCTAACTCATTTCCTGGCCAGGGGGAATGTCTTAGCTGTCATCTAAGCCAAGAGAATGCTTGTGAAGGGCATGATCTGGTAACCTGTTGTGACCTTCAGTTCATGAGGCAAACCCAGGGAGACCAACCTCAGCATCCTTTGCTCCCCAGTGTTATTCCACTGAAATGCCCCCTATATTCAGGCTGGTCCTACCTGCAGCTCTGTATCTAAGGAGCATTGTTATTTCATCTGTGCCTTCTTGCGTGGCTCGGGCAACTGTTATTCCTCCTTCATGATCTTCTTGGTTATACTTAACTGTCATATAGTCCACTGAAGGACTTCCCAGATTAGATTTGTCTGTAAAGGGGATTATCTTGACTATTAACTGAATTTTGGTTTCCTAGCCTATGACCTAGTGTGGGCTAAATTGATGTAGGAGGTCCAAGCCCACTATGGGCAGCACCATTCCTTGGGCAAGTGGTCCTGGGCTGTATAAGAAAGCCAAGTAAGCCTGGGTGGCTAAGCAGACCATGGAGCCAGCAAGCAGCATTCCTCCATGTTTTCTGCTTAAAGCTCTTACCTGTGTTTCTGTCCTGACTTCCCTCAATGATGGACTGTGATCTGGAAGTATAAAACCAAACCAGTCCTTTCCTCCCCTAACTTGCTTTAGGTCATGATGTTTGTCACACAATAGAAAGGAAACCAGAACAGTGATTCAGAAACTGCCCAAGACCGCTCCGTGCTGACTTAAGCTTTGTGCCCTGTGTCCTCATGGTACAGACCAGATGTACTATTATTACAGGCCACTAGACTGTAGACTTTCTGAGGGAATCTGTCTTCAGCTCTGTGTCTGACATGAGGGCTCAGCTCATCTCTCCAGGAGCATTTCATCCAGACCATCAAACCGGAAGATGGCAGTTTGTATGCCTGAAGCATCAGGGGCACACCTGCACAGGTTTGATTCAACATGAGAAAATTCAAGTTCAGCTCAGCAGGGATCCTGACACCTATTAAGCTAAAGGACTGCACCATGTTGCATGCTGTTCAGAAGGAAAGAGTTAATAGGAAGAAAGAAAAGCATTGGTCTTAAGCCAATGGATGAGATTCCAAGCCCAGCACTGCTGCTTCTTAGGTGTGTAAACTGCCAAATTCAGTTGCTTTATTTACCAGTTGCTCTCTCTTCCATAGTTCAGAGAGGAGGATGCCCACCTTCCTGACTTATTAAGAGAGTTAAATTACTATAAGATGATATATGTAGAATCACTCCTAGCACAGGACAGGAGTAAACAAGGTTTCTTTCTTTTGTGGTTGTTGGAGAGGCTTTGAAAATGAGTAAGACATAAAGCCTGCCCTCCGTTCAGTGGAAGAAATAAGCGCACACTGTGGAGTTTGATAGAAAGGGAACTGGGATGATCATGATTACATGGGATAAGAAGACAGTCCAGATGGGATTTTCTGTTTTATCCATTCAAACTCCATTAGCTAAGTGCTAAACACAGTGGCAGGCTGTGGATACCAACAGGAATAGGACATGGCACTTGCATGATCATGATTACATGGGATAAGAAGACAGTCCAGATGGGATTTTCTGTTTCATCCATTCAAACTCCATTAGCTCAGGCTGTGGATTCCAACAGGAATAGGACATGGCACTTGTCCTGAGGGACTCACAGTCTGGGGTGGGGAAACAGATGGATGAGCAGACCAACTAAAGCTCATCGGGGTTATTATACAAGAACACAGAACACATGGGATGAAGGGGCCAACTCCAAATTCTCCAAATCCAACGAATCAAAGTCCAGATGCTCCTCTCCAGATAAGCGGATCCTTCTGGAGTGGGATTTGTATTCCTGCTTCTTACTCTTCTGAATAAAATGTCAGCATACCTGTCTAACCTTCCAACTAGTGCAATTGTTAGTTTCCTAGAATGACTTTTCAATATGGCACATGCATTCAAATGTCAACACAGTTAATGCCAACAGCCCCATAACACATCTGTACAAGGTACTGGACTGCCTCCTCCCTGTGGGGACAAGAAAGTAAGCACCAATGGATGGACAATCGCCAGTGTCAGAATGGGCACCGAAGGTAGATAAGCAGCAGCTGTTCAGTGCAAACTGGTACAGAAGGGGACACAGTGACCCCAAACCAGAGCTGTGACTATAAGCCATTCATTCAATTTCTTACAACCTCAGCTTTCCTCATAATTATTGATTTTCTTGTTTTTTGTGGGACCAAAGTCCTCATGTGCTCCACGAGTGCTAGGCAAGTACTTTATAACTGTGCTAAATTCCCAGGTTCTTCTCGCACTAAAAATAGGAATAAATCTGGGTGTGGTGTCACACGCCTTTAATCCCAGCACTTAGGAGGCAGAGGCAGACAGATGTCTGTGAGATTGACGTCAGCCTTGTCTACATAGAGTTCTGGCCTAGCTGGGGCTGCAGGAAGACCTTGTCTCAAAAATCCAAAACAAAAATATATAAATAAATACATACATAAAAATAGGACTAAGAGTTACTAGCCTGGGTAATCTCCTGGAGCAGTGCACATCAATTCGGCTGGCTGTGGAACGAACTGTGAAAGCTGTAAAGAAATTTTAAATGTTTCATTTATTAATCTTACTTTATGTATGAGTGTATTGCCTGCATGTATGTAAGTGCACCTGTATCATCCAGTGCCCAAGGAGGTCAGAAGAGGGTATTGGATTCCCCTGGAACTGGAGTTATGGATGTTCATTA